CAGCTCAGGACCCAGTGGGAAGGTGGCGGCAGGTGTGTCCCTGGGCTGTGCTGGCCGGTGGCCCCTGGGCCCTCACTGTCCCCTCGCATCCGCCTCTGACAGCTGCGCGTTGTGTGAGCTTCACCGATGAAGCGGGGAAAACATCGATGTCTTTGGGGGCCTTGAGAGCCTCAGCTGCCCGATTAGGGGAACTTTGTCCTCTGTGATGTTCCCAGCTGTGCGATGGGGACCCGCTGGGGAGTCAGGATGGGTCATTGGGGCTGACGGGGAGAACTGGGATCGCTGGGGTGCGCTGGCTGAGGGAGGGAAGCTGCCCGCTGCCCAGCAGCACCCCTGGCAGTGCGGACACTTCCCTCCTACCTGCTGGGCCCATTTGGGCGGGACCTGCCCAGGTGTGTCCTCGGCAGAAACCCACTGCTGCTGAAATACTCTGTAAGCTGTGGCCCTCCTGTAGCTTGGGGGTCCTTCTTGGGGTTCCAGAGACCCCTCTGGTTTTGTCAGGTGGCCTGTTCATCTGTTTGGGTGCTCCCACGGGGAGCACAGCTGAGTCTTGAGCCACAGCCTCTTCCCTGCCGCAGGCAGGGCCAGCTCGGGGCTGACCCGAGTCCGTTGGCCCCAGGGAAGGTTGCTGAAGAGCTTGCCTGGAGAAGCTTGTCAGGGCCAGGCTGTGTCCTAGGGGAAGCAAAATAACCCATGACCCCTCCAGTAATGGGGCAGGGGAGGCGGGCGTGTCCTTGAGGATCTGACAGTCTCCACCTGACCCTGGAAACCCCTTGCTGACCTCCTGGGTGTCACTGGGGCTGGGATTTCGGTGGCAGAGATGTTTACGAGCACCTACTGTGTGCTGGGCCTGGGCAGGTGCTTTTGCAGGGACATGCCTTACCCTCCCCCAGGCTGTGGGAGGGGAGTTTAACACTAGCAGGTTTGCAGATGGCAAACCAGACGTCTGGAAGCGGTGGAACAGAGGTGTACAGAGGTGGGTGCTGGCAGAGCCTTCCAGGCTGGTGGAACAGCGTGTGTGGAGGCTCAGAGGCAGGACTCTGGTGTGGTAGGAAAACCAGGGAGGTGGGTTGACTGAGTGGTGAGAGGGAGGCTGGGGGCTGGACCAGTGCGTTTGAGGACATTCGTCCTCAGGGAGGCTGGAGGCCTTGAGGGGGGAGCAGGTCAGACACAGCTGTGGGGAGCAGTCAGTAGGAGGTGGGGGCTGGCCTCAGCCTCACTCCCGGCCTGCACTTTGCTATAACGTCGGTGCCTAATAGCTGCTCCTGCCTGCACCGATGTCCAGGTTCCTCTGGGAGATCCCTTACCTCACTCCACTTAGGGTGCCTGAGAACCAACCAATAAATAACTTTGAGGGGATGACAGGAAGAAGAAACCATCCAAGGAAAGCACAAGATGTTTGAAAAGCAAACCGAAAAAATGGAGGTGGCTTTTCAGCAAGAACCTACCACCTGGGAATTTCAGGAATTTTCATGCCTCCTGATTTGGGCTGAGAGGCCCATGGAGGGGCAGGCGCAGGCCCACGTGTGCGCCGTCACCCTGTGAGGGACCCAGGAGAAAGCAGCGGGGACAAGAGACCTGCTCCTCCCGCAGCTGAGCAGTGCTGGCGTCCGCATTTGAGCTCATGGTCGGGGTCTGCTGCGGAGGGACACCAGCCAGCAGCCAGCGAGGCCGTCATGACTCAGGGGCTGCTTCTGCCTCAGGGCCTTTGCACTTGCTGTCCCCCTCGCCCAGGCCCGGGCTGCTCGCTGCTCCCTCTCGGCGTCAGCCTGGGGGTGACATCGCCTCTTCGTGGGCTTTTCTTAATCACCCAGTTTAAAGTAACAGCCTCTGCCAGCTGCTGGCCCTGCCCCCCTGCTCTGCCTTCGTCCCGGTACATGCTGATATTACCTGAAAAAATCTTTTCTATTGGTGTGTTCAGTGCCCACACCCCATCCCTCGAGGGCGGCGACCTCTTTGCGTGGTGTCTGTTCTTGGTGGCACGCTTGGTGGAACAGCGGGTGCCTGCGGGGCGGTAGTCAGTGTTTGCTGAGTAAATAAATGCATGAATTGATTCCCTCCCCCCCTCCTCTTCCTCCTCGTGGCCCCACTTTCCTCCACCCCCGCACAGAGTCCCCTGTGGCCCAGCCAGCGCGTGGGACGAGGCAGCAGAGGCCTGGCGTCCCCGGGCGGGCGGGCGGGCGGGCGGTGTCCCGGCGGCCTCCTGAGGCCGGGCTGCCCGAGGACCAGGTGGAAACGCTTCCCGGCTAAGAGCCGTTTCCTTGGGAGCCGCAGCCCCTCCCTGGATGCGGGCGTTCTCCGCAAGGTGGCTGGCGCTGCTGCGGCTCCATAAATATTAAATGGGTATTAAAAGAAGGCGCTGCGCTCCCGGTTTCCCTGATTTCCCGAGCAGGGCGTGTTGCGAACCCCCTTTATGTGAAATGCAGCATTTCACGGCGAGGGCCTCCCGGGATGCGGCGCCGCCTGCCTTTTCCGGCCGATTCCCCCGGCGCGGCCCGGTCTCTGTCTGTGGGCCAGCCACGGGGCCTGCTTCTGGGGGTGTGGTTGGGGGGAGTCCTGGAACCCCCTTAGGGGGGCTCTGCGCAGCCTGACCAGCCTCCTGGGGCCGGGGGTTGTGGGGAGGGGGAGGGGCAAGGCCTCTGCTGCCTCTGGCTGGGCCCCCTGCCACCCACCCTCTGCCAGGCCGGTGCCGCCCCGGGGGAGCCTGGCAAGACCCGGCCTCCCCCCTCCCTCCCCATCCACTCATCCCCCATTTGTGAAGTGTCCGCGACAGGCCCTGGTGACGCTGATGCAGCGACAGTCGCTGCCTTTCACTGAGCACACGCTCCGTGTCGGCTCCGTGACCGCCGTGACACGGCCCCGCCTGTGCCTCCTGGCTCCGGGGCAGAGAGTATTTTTCTCTCCGTTTTGTGGACGAGGAAACAGCTCTGGGAGGTGAAACCACTTGTTGGGGGTCACAGAGCTGAGGGGGGACTGGATTTGACATACAGGGCCAGTGGGGGGACCCAAGCCCCGCCCCTGGGGACACCCATGGGACGCTGGGACCGAGGCGCCTGCTTTGGTCAGAGGCCCAGCAGGGGTGGGGGGGCAGCTTGTGAGGGGCTTAGCCCTCATGTGAGAAAGTGGGTCCTTCAGGGCCACTGGAGCAGCCCCCTTTGCTCACACTCGAGCCTCCCGAGCCTCCCACGAGGGGCAGCTGCCCACGCAGGCCTGACGCCCGCTCTCGCGTCTCTGTGAGCGGCGATTCCAGCGGCGCGGTGACTGCAGCTGGACGCTCGGTGTCCTCCAGGGGCTGTGCTGGGTTCCCACTCGCGTAGCCCGCACGGCTGCCCTGGAGGGGGTGTCGCTGTACTCGAGCCCATCTTCCCCTGCAGGAAGCCGAGGCTCAGAGAGGTTAGGAAGTTGGCCCAAGGCCACACGGCAAGCCAGCCCAACGCGGGCCTTGAACCCTGGGCCAGAACTGGGCTGCCAGACCCCGGAGGCCTCTCCAGGGTGACAGGCAGGCCCTCTTCCACAAATGTTCTGTGAACCCCAAGGTCAGGAACCGTGTCTCCCCCACCTCGGAGGCCTGCCGGCTTGGAGGCCGGCCTGCTGGGTGGCTGTGGGGCTGCGGCTGCCGACTCGGAAGCAGCCAGCAGCGCAAGGGAGGAGCGTGGTTCCGGGGAGGCAGCCTTGTCTTCCCGAGTGGAGCAGAGGGACGGGTCTTGCGAATCAGGAGGTTGTGTTTTGGGGGGCTGGGGTGGGAGGAGAAGGATATTGGTATTTATTGCGCTTTGCATAGATGTGATTGTCGAGATTTTTAAAAAAATTAATAATCCATTTCTCCTTGCACATAATTAAAATGTTCTCCAGTCTCTAATTTTTGTCATTTTCCTAATCTAATTTGTTTTCTGACTGTGTCGATTCTTCTTCCAAGCGCAAAGCAACGGGGATTTTTCTCCTGTTGACGTGACTGGGATCTGACCGTCCAGGAGTCGTTTAAATGATGTTATTTTCTCCTTGGTTAAGTGCGGTGCAGATGGGATCGACGAGGGCCTTCAGGACCCAAAGCCGAAACAAAACCCAAACAAAACAAACCTTCGAGGCATTTCCTATTTGCAAAGTTAGAAGGAATCACTAGTTAAAGAAGGGAGAAGTCAGGGGCCTCGGTCGGGAGGCGATGGCCCCCGCCTGTGCCATCCGGCTGCGGGGGGGAGGCCCGGGGGGTGCAGCCTTCCCCGCGGCCCCTGAGACTCAGAGACACCAGTCCAGGAGCTGCGGACGCGAACTGTGCTTCTAATCATGAAAAAAAAAAATAAATAAATAAATAAGGTAGCGTTTGCAGGCTGCGTTCTTCGTGGGTCCAGCCAGGGTTTGACCCGGAGCGGCAGCATCCCGAGAGCCCTCGGAAGGAAGGTTTTTCCCCAGTGGACTCCCTCCCCTGCCCCCAGCCCCCTCGCCACCACCAAGCTGAGCCGGGGTGTGGCCATCTGTCTGGGAAAACCCCTTCTCCAGGCGCTGCTGGGAGAGATCTTCAGGCGAAATGGGTGTTGAGGAAGGAATCTGCGCCAGGGCCTCGGCCTGCTGGGGCTTGCAGGTGTGGGGCTGTGGGTGTGTTTGGGGTCTGTGGGGGGGGCGGGGAATCCTCCCTGGTCCCCGCTTCCACAGGGCGAAACCTGCCTCACTTGTTTCCAGAAGACCGGCCCTCCCCTGCCCGCCTCGCGGCCTCCCCGGGCTCCGAGGCCAAGGCCAGGAAACGTCCAAGTGTCTCGGCACGTCGGGCCGCGTGCGCCGCGTCCTCGCTGGAGGCCCTCGCGCCCCCCACCCCCCTTTTCTTTTTACCAAAGTATATTCATCAAACTGCTGAGTTGGAAAGATTTGTAATGAGTTTTTGAGCTGTACGACGGAGGTTTGCTCCCCCTTCCCCCCGCCTTCTCCCTCTTTCTAAATCTTCATCTGACATTAAATAAAGCAAATCCCAAACAGATTAACTGTCGCACGTTCTGCTCCGTCTCCTCAGCGTGTTCCCAGGCCTGGCGCCGGGCCGGGCAGCGGTGGCGGCGGCGGGAGGCCCATGTGGCGGGCCAGGTGGGACCCCGGCGTCCTGAAGGCCGAGGCGCTGGCCCTGCTGCCCTGCGGCCTGGGCATGGCCTTCTCCCAGTCCCACGTGATGGCGGCGCGCAGGCACCAGCACAGCCGGCTCATCATCGAGGTGGACGAGTACAGCCCCAACCCCACGCAGGCCTTCACCTTCTACAACATCAACCAGGGCCGCTTCCAGCCGCCGCACGTGCAGATGTAAGTGCCGCGTGGGGGGGGAGGGGCGTGCTGGGCGGCGGGCGGCCGGGGTGGGCCGGGTGGGGGCCGTGGAGAAGTCGAGCCCCGCGTCCGTGTCCCGTGGCTGGGAGACGTGCAGATCTCTACGTGCTGTGGCGGCGCGCAGACACGCAGCTGCTGGCTTTGCGTACAAGACCCAAGGGCCTGGCCACCCCAAAGCCGCCTCTTCCTCTCAGCTGCGTCCTGGGGGCTCAGTTCCAGCTGCCCCCTCTTGGCATTGGGGGGTGACCCCTGGTCTAATTCACTTGCTCAGTGTATGGACGGGGAGACTGAGGCCTGGAAGGGGACGGCTGCGGGCCCGTGGGGGGCAGGGCCCGGCATGGGCTCCCCTGGCCAGACCCGCTTCTGTGGTGGAAGCAGAGATGCTTTCTCTGCTGCCACCCCTGGGTGCCGCTGGGGGTCAAGATGACCCAGCCCGGGGCTGGCAGGTGGACCCTGACCCTGTGGGACCCCGCCCCTCCCCTGGGCTTGTCCTGAGGTCTGGGAACGTGGGTCCTTGGCACACACATCTAGTGGACCCTCCGCCTGCCCTTCCCGTCAGCCCTGCACGGGCCCAGAGGGCTGGGTGACCGGGGTGCCCGGCGTCGCCGCCTCCTGCCTGGGCCTTCCTGGCCATTTGCTGTGACCTCTGCAGGTGGCTGCACCCTGCCTGAAAGTTCAGACATGGTTTGCTCAGCTGTTGAATCGTCTCTCAGCCTTTCGGGGTGCCCTGTGCTGGGTCACTGTGCGGCCCCTGAGCAGGGGCCACAACTCCCCAGGGACAGTGCAGGGAGGTCAGAGCTGTTCTGGCCCTTCCAGGGCCCAGGGGCCCAGAGCAAGCCCGCCCAAGCCCCAGGGTGCACTGCCCGCAGGTGGCCCAGTCCTCACCTCCAGGGAGCAGGGAGAGCAGGTCCTGCAGCTGGGCCCTGAGGGACGGGAAGCCCTGTGGGGCCGCTAGTGTGGACAGGACAGCTAGTGTGATGGCTGGGGGTGGGCGCGGCTGCAGCCTCAGGACGTCCTCTGTGGCGCAGGTGGGTGTGGAGAGGGCCTGGAGGGCGGGGCCTCTCGGGAACACCCTCTCCCTGCAGTATGCTCGCCCCCCCCCCCCGCCCCCAGCCAGGCTGTCAGTAGCTTCCTAGGTTGTGTTTTGGGGGGTTTCTATTTGGGAAACTGTGGGTTTCTACTGGACGGTGTTCCTAGGGTGCCACCCTCTCCTCTGTTGGGTTAGAGGCCCCGGTTCTGGCTGAACTCCTGCCCTGGAGGGCTGGCGGGGTGTGTGGGGGTGACAACCCAGAGCAGGTGGGGCGCTGTCTGTACCCACGATGCCTGCCATTTAGAGGGGCAGCACCCCGCCTCGACCCAGCAGGCACCCCCAGGCCCAGACACGGCCAGGGCAGCGGGGGCCGGGCCCTCAGAGAAGATGACTTCTAGGAGGACACTCAGGTGGCAGCGGGGGGCGGGGGACTGGGAGAAGGGGGTGAGTAGGGCTGCCGAGCAGGGAGCGTGCAGGCCTGAGGAAAGGCAGCGAAGGACCAGAAGAGAGAGGGGCGCCCTCGCCCATTTAACCTGCGGGCAGCTGTGGCCCTGGTCACTCTCCACCTAGTGGCCCTTGGGGGCGTTGGTGGGCAGCCGAGTAGCAGACTGGTTAGCCGGGAGCGTGGCTTGGGCTGGCCTGCCCGGCTCTCATCCAGGTTCTGCACTTACCCGTGGGGGGAGAGCCTCGGTGCCTCAGTTTCCCCAGCTAGAAAATGCTGCTCATAGCAATGCAGAGCGGGGCCAGGCCCCAAATGTCCAGTATGGCTAATACTGGCCAGGCTCAGTGCTGGGGGCGGCAGGGGCAAAACTAAGCCCTTGGCTGTGCCGAGCGGCCTCCCAGCGGGGTCGGCACAGGTTGCTGCCGTGGGCAGCAGACGCGAGGCAGGTACAGATCGGCCCCACAGAAAAAGCGCTCGATGTGGTGGCTCAGCCAGAGCAGCCGTCCTGGCTGCTCCCCAGCGGGGGTGCCGGGCTCCCACTGGCGGTGGGTTGGGGGGACCCCGGGAAGAGCATGCACGGAATCCCAGGTCTGGACTCCTCGCCCAGTGCTCCCCGCCGGCCGCCCTGGCATTGACGTGCAACTTCACAGGAAGCTGGGTGAAGCCGGGGCGGTGCAGGGACTCGGGAGGGCGCTGTCCCTCCCACCCCTGCTCCCAGCCGGGCGGGCGTGTGAGCTGCCGAGGGGGCTGCGCGGGTTTCCATGGCGAGGCGGCTGCTGCAGGAGGGAGACAGGAGGATGGATGCCACTTCCTGACACGTGATTTATCGCCGCCCTGGGTTTTGTCGCTGGGGCGAGGGAGCGAGGGGGCCTTATTTAATAAATCCACAATTTATATTTAATAACAACGGTGACAGTGCAAACGTGGCCCCCGATTGAGCCTGGTGATTTATGCGGGTGCCCCCAGAGACCCCGGCGGGAATGAGGTTGCCTTTGCCCGTGTGATGAATCTCCGGAAAAGGCTTCTGGGCTGTGGTCCCTGGGACTGAAGACCGAAGACCCCTCTGGCGGGGGAGCTGTGGCCTGGAGGGCCCTCAGGGGTCAGCCCTCCCGTCCTGGGAGCGGCAGGTGTCAGCAGAGGCTTAGCCTGGGGGTTGTCCGGGCAATGCCCTGGCGCGGCCTTTCCAGGGAGCTGTGCGGTGGAGGCCTGAGGCGGCCTGTTCACAGGCCCTGAGTGCGGCTTATGGCCGGTGCCTGGTCAGGTCGGTCCGGGCACGGAGTCTGGGGCTGGCACAGGCGGCGGTCGGGCAGTGCCGCCCAGGGAAGGAGGGAACGACAGTGCAGGGAGGGAAGACGGAGAAGCTCCAGGCCTTCCCGTAGGCCGTGGCTGGCCTCACGCGGGGTGCTCCTTTCTCCCCGGCCGGCCCCAGCCGCGGGGGTTCTGACTAACTTGACGAGCCCCAGAAGGCGCCCGGCGCACCCCTTGGGTTGCACCCGCCGGGGAGCCTCCGACTGCGGCAGATCCAGCCCGCCGTGCTCCCTGCGCATTAGCATGCTGAACCCACATCTCTCGCAAGGTGTTAATTAAATTTCTTCGAAGTATATTGTCTGAAAAAAAAAAGGATAATTAGAAAGATGTCTTTAAAAGTATTTATGTAACTGATACGGCGCCGCTCTTGGTTTGCCGCATAATTAGATGGAAACACCACTCGGCGCGGCAGGCCCGTCTGGAGCGCGGAAATGTCCTCGTCTCGTCTTTAAGAGTTTTCAACCTGGCGAGATCAGCCGAGGAGGCCCACGTCGAGGGGGAGCCCGGACCCGGAGCAGGGGCCCCCCGTGCTGCCTTCCTCTCTGGGGTCCCGGGGCCACTTGCGAGGTCGGCGTCGCGTCTGTGAAGCGAGGGGTGCAGCGCCTCGCAGGCGCCTCTGCTTTGCCGGGGATCCCCGTTCCACGCTCCAGCAGCGAGCAAGCTCCGGCATTCGCTTCAGGTCACCCGGGCAAGGCCGGGGGCGGTGTGGGGTGGCAGGCGGTCTCCTGCTTCCCGGGTGGTTTGTGAACTTTCCACAGTAAGTAGGGACTCCCCCCATTATGTTTATTGACATAAAATTGATTTGCATCATTGTATCTGCTTGGGGGGTGTCAGGTTCAACCCCCCATCACTGTTTTCGCGCCCTGCCCCGCAGCAAGGCCCCGATTGTCCCCTATCATGTCCCGGTGTACCCCCTCCACCCTCCACCCGCCCCTCCCTCCCCTTTGGTTGCCTCAATTCTGCAGCCAGAGACCAAGGGTTTGTACTGACCCCTTGGGGTGTTTCCCGAAGTCGCCACGTAGTGACACCAGCGGTGTCTTCCCTCCCAACTGGCTCTGCTTAGGGTCCTCCCGCCCGGCCCGTCCACCCGTCCAGGCTGCCACCACGGCCGGCGCCATCTTTTTTTTTTAAAAAAAGAAGTACAATTCCACCGCATCCGGATTTCACAGATGCAAGTAGATACCACGTTCCCCCAACCTGCCCGGGCCTCGGCTGTCTCGGGGCTTGGCTTTAGTTCACGTGGGAGCACCCACGGCCCTCGAATTAGTGTTTTTGCATTTTTAGGTAGACCCCGAGGAGGATTGGGGTGGCTGGGTCACGTGGGAGGTCTCTGTCTCCTGTGCTGGAAGCCCCCGGGGGCTGGGCCTGCCTGCACCCCTCCCACGGCATGAGGGTCCCTTCCTCGCCACACCCTCCCCACGTGCATTTGCGTCCTTTTTTTTTTTTTTTTTTTTTTAAGATTTATGTATGCATCCAAGAGCTGGGGTGCAGGCCAGAGGTGTGGGGGGTGAGAGGACTCACCAGAGACAGAGACAGAGTGGGGCGCAGAACAGGTGGATCCACTGAAATCCACTGCTGAGGGGAGCAGTGGGCAAGTCAGGAGAGGTCTGCCGCGCCGTGTGGGTAGCTCCCTGGCTGGGGATCGAACTCGTGCTGCTGAGGCTGCCCGTAGCTTCACAGTGCTGAGCCTTCAGTCCTGCGCCACCGGGGAGGCCTGCGGTCCTCGAGGTGTGAGGTGTACCCCGCTGTGGCTTTGACTCGCGCTCCCGACTGCACGGCAAGCCACAGCCCTGCTCTGCTGCTTGCACCGTCTCAGCGTCTTGGAAACACTCAACGCGAAACCCCCTCCCGCGGCTCTCCTGGGAGGCCCTGGGGGTCGGTGCTTTCTACTGGACCACGGCTGGTAGTCAGTCCACGCTTTCCTGAGGGGGGCTGGTAGCGCCCCAAGGGGCAAAAGCTGGCTTGAGGTGGGTGTTGGTGGAAAAATCTCAGTCTTGTAGAGCACAGACCTGCAGCACGGCACAGACGGTCTCGCTGTGGTGTTAACTTTTCACGGGAGGCTCCTGAGGAGGAAGAAAACATCTAAAAGGGCCCCCCAGGGGCTGATAATGAAAAGAGGGGGGAGGCAGCCTCCAGCCGGGCGGCTGGGCTGTGCACACCAGCCCAAGTCGCCCCAGAGTCGCCCTCCCAGCCTCCCCACCCCCACCTCCGTAACTGGCACCATAACCCTCTCGGAGTCCCACGTTTTGGGGGAAAATGTTTTTGCTCAGCCAGTGAGCCAGAGAGTTGGGGTTCGGGCCTGGGGGTGCCACATGGCGGTTGGATGCGTGTCTGAGCTTGGGGCTGGTGGGCCCCACTGGTGCCGGAGGCGTCCCCCGCAGTGGTGGCCCCGGGACCCTGACCGGTGTCTTCCTTCCCCAAGGGTCGACCCAGTGCCTCATGACGCCCCCAAGCCTCCTGGCTACACCCGCTTTGTCTGTGTGTCTGACACCCACTCGCGGACGGACCCCATCCAGATGCCCTACGGCGACGTGCTGATCCACGCCGGCGACTTCACAGAGCTGGGGCTGCCTAGCGAGGTCAAGAAGTTCAACGAGTGGCTCGGTAGGTGCTGGGTGCCCCGGGCTCCCGCTGGGGCGGCCCCCAGCCCCCCACCCCCGCTCCACCAGGCCCCTTCTCGCCCCTTGCCTGCCTGTCCACCTCCCTGCAGCCTTTCTGGGCCTTCCATCCCCCCCTGGAGTCTCTGATTTCAGCACCGTCTCGGCTGCGACTCCCCATTAGTTTGTGGGAGCTCGGGGCCTGGGACACCCCCTCTCAAAGGGATTTTGCCACCTCTGGTTTTGTCTGCATGGGCATCTGGCCCCCATCGCCCGGGGCAGGTGGGTGTTCAGTGAGTGTCCGCGTGGGCAGCTGCCTCCCTGGGGACGGGGATGCCAAGGTCCCCACAGCCGTCGGGACGGCTTCAGAAGGGGACCTGCCAGGCCTCCGGGGGCTCCGGGACCAGCTGCGTGTCCTCCGTGGCAGCGGTGGGCTCAGGCAGTGCAGTGCTGTCCCCGTGCTGGGTGGTGGTGGGTGATGATTCATGAACCGGTCCCCAGGGTTTGGTCTTTGCTTTCTTCCAAAATAAGAAAGACTTCAGCCCGGGCCCCGGGAGAGGCCGCGCAGCTGGAGGCCAGAGAAACCTGGCGAGGAGTTGCCTTTGCCACGGTCCAGGGGCCAGACGGACGGCCCTGGGCTCCCCGGAGCTCGGGCTGCTGCTGCGAAGACATGGGTGCGGGGACACCCGCTCCAAGCCCAGCCCCGCGCTGCCAGACGGTCCCCCGCTTCCCCAGGGCGTCCCGCTGTGCGGTTGGCTGGGAGCTGCGAGCCCGAGGCCCGGCAGGGAGGCCGGGGGAGGCGGGGAGGCTGCGAGCGAGGGGCCGGGCTCTGCCAGTGGAGACAAATATTTACAAGCAGGGCTTCCCCTCTGCTTGGCGGGCTCCGAGCTTTAAATATTGATTTTTCAAATGGGAAATTCTAATCCAGGACCCGTGGGGGCTGCCGTGTGTGAAGGCTGGGGTGGGGGGAGCCCCGCCGCGGCTGCCCCAGGCTTCTCTCCCCCAGCTGCTTCCAGCTCTGGGGGCCTCCTGCCGGCGTCCAGAAGACGTGGGGCTCCGCTTGTCCCGGCCAGGCCGCCTCTGCGCCAGGGACAGGAGTCTCGGGAGCCAGGCACCTACTGTGCCGGGCACAGCGTGATGGGCTCTTTACTGCTGCTGCTGGTGGCATTTGGGGGGCAGCTCTTGTGGGGGTGCCGTTTTCGTTCCTCTTAGACAGTGAAGGGTGTCAGCTCCCCTCCCCCGGTCAGGGTCTTGAGGGGTGGGCTTTTTCTGACGCACCCCTGGCCCACTGTGTGCACCCAGCAGCAGGGGGAGAGCGAATGGGCAGTGGGGGTGGGCCGGGGAGCGGGCTCTCGGCTCGGCCTGCAGTGGGGCCTGCAGTGGGGGTGGCTTCAGGGCGAGGCTGACTGCTGCCTTTGCCCCAGGAGTGGGCGTTTGCACAGGGCAGGAGCTGCTTGGGCTCAAGGCTGCAGGAGGCGAGTGTCGGCCAAGAGGGGTTGGAGGCTATTGGGGTGATGGGCCTGGAGGGACGGGTGGGGCCTGGTGGTCACTGTGGGGGGGACATCAGGAACCTGGGGGCAGCATGGGGAGACGGGTCTTTGGGAAGCTCTCTCCACTGCCTCTCAGCAGCCTTCGGAACGGCGCCACCCTGGGGCCTTGGGGCTGGCTTCATTTATTTGCCCTGGTTGTTGCTGGTGGGACGTGCAAACGTCAAAGGGGTCTTCCTCTTACACAAGGTGGCCTTGGGGCCTCTCCCTGTGCTTCCTGAAATGTCTGCAGATGTCACTGCTGTCCCTGGCGCGGGGCCGGGGGGCTGCACTGCGGGGTTAATTCTGCGCAGGGAATCTGCTTGGGCGCAAGCGTCGCCAGAGCCCTTTCCAGAAGTCCATTGGAGCAGCTTCTGGGAGCCTGCTCCTGCAAAGCGGGATGCCCCTCCGGGGACGGAGCGGGGCTGCCAGGTGGGCCGTGGGCTCACAGGTGCCTGTTGGCGCACTGGACGGGATGTGTTTTTCAGGGGGGCCATGGGGCCCCATTCGGTGCCCTGTGTGGGTCTCCATGAAGTCTCTGCTCCTGATGACAGAGGAGGTGGGAGCTACGTCACCCCCCACAGCGGAGAAGGCAAAGGCCCAGAGAAGTGAAGGGTCGTGCCCAAGGTCACACAGCGAGCGGGCAGCAGAGCCAGGAGTGGACCCAGGCCTGGCACTCTGGGGCCCGGCTCTCGCCTGGGTCTCTGCGGCCTCGCTCACCTCCCTGCAGTGGCGCTTCTGACGGAAGTGAGGTGCAGGCCGCGTGGGGTGGATGTCCTGGGGCGCTTCCCTCCCGGGGGCACAGTACAGGGAACCTCGTCTTTCAAGTGGGGTGTTCAGGCTCCCCTCACCCTGACAATCTCCAAGGATGTTTTGGGCTCCCCTAGGGTGGGGGAGGACTGGACGATGATGTGATGGCTCACGTGGCCCCCTTTTGCCAGACGGGGACTCCCTGGGTGGGGGAGGTCGGGGTCAGGGTCTGCCCCATCGCTGGGGACTCCTGCCCAGGGCTGTGACCTGGATTAGACAGAGCAGCGGGACGGTGTGTGTGAGTGTGGGGTTCCCGAGGAGGTGTGCCCTCAGCTGTGTCCAGCTCACACACTGGCACGCGCACACGCGTGGACACACACTCACATGTGTTCACCCACCCCTGCTGTGCTTGCTTAGCCCAGGATGTGCTGGTGCCGGGTGCTGGGGGGCAGTGGGCGGTGAGGGCCAGGCCTGTTCACATCCTGGTGACGGGACATCTGCTGGACAGGTAGATGCACATGGATGCCAAGAAGAGGACGTCCCCAGGGACGCTGGCCCCAGGGAGGCCAGTGCCCTTTAGCTGGTGGTCACGGGGGGCCCCCCTGCGGCGCGTGAGGAGTGAAACGAGGCATACCTGGGTAAATGGGAGGTTTATGTCCGGGAGTGACCTTTGCCAAGGCACCCCCAGGCCTGCATTGCAGCCAGAGCAGGAGGATGAGGCCAGTGAGGCAAAGGCTCTGGAATGTTCCGGGACTGGTGTCTGGGCGGTGGGAGCAGGGGGTGTATTTACCCCCACCCCCCATTTTCCCGTGAGAGCGTGCGCTATTCAGTAGCATCAGATCAAGGCGACGCTAGATCTTGGCTTTGAAGAAATGCCGCCTCTCCGCTGCTTCCGTGGGGTGCACCCGGGATGAGGGTGGGCGGCGTGGCCAGGTCAGCCCTGGTCATCTTCATCCAGCCGCTCAGGGCTGCCCCAGGCCCTCTCGGAGGAGCAAGCGGCAGATTTAAATTCGCAGCCTGCTCCTCCCGCTCACTCCTCTCCTGGGAAGTATTTAAAGTCACGTTCCTGGGGCCAGACACGCGGGATCCGAAGCCTTGACAAGGGCCCCGCAGACAAGCCGCGGCTCCTGGGGGGCGGCGTGGGGCCGGTTCCCACCTTGGGGCGCCAGATGCGCGGCGCCGGGTAGGGGCGCGGGGCCCAGCTTCCGCCGGGGTCTGCGTCCCTCGCGGGGGGCCGGGTGGGGACGAGTCTCTCCTTCCCCCTGGCCACTGCTGTCCCGGGGAGAGTCGTGAAGTGGAGGCGCCAGCTCGGTGTGGGAAGCTCCAGGGAGCAGCGGCGCTTCCCCGACGGACAGGCTTTCCGGCCCAAGGAGGGGAAGTTGGGCAGAGTTTGCTGCGCGTGGCGAGGGTGTGCCGGGGTCCCGCCGGCGGGGGAGGGGGGCTGACAGCAGCCTGGAGCCCCACGGGCCGGCTCAGTCAGGGGTCTGCCCCGGAGGAGCCCGCGGGCCGGTGAGAGCTCACGCCTGGAGCCCCGCAGCCCTGCTTCGGCCTCTTCTTGGCTGTGACCGCAGCGTAGCCGCGCGACCTCCCTGTGCCCAGCCTGGCGAATGGGGAGACCTGGTTCCCTACCCCCTGGGGTTGCAGGAGGGTTGCAGCGTAGCGGCGCTCTACGGCGCTGAGCACGCCCCGGGCACACGGGAAGCCCCTTGGGAGGCGGCAGATGTTGCGTGAAAAACTTGCCTCTCCCTGATCTGAGCTCCCACGGGACTAAAAAGGTCCCAATCAGCTCAGCGTGGGCAGAGCCTTTTCGCTCCGGACTCAAACTGTCTGGCTCCAGGAATCCTTCGTAGGACCCGTCGCTCCCTCTGGGCCCCCTCCCGACCCCCTCTGGCTCAAGTTCTCCCCACCCAGCTGAGAGCTTTCGAGGGCTGACCTCTGTGACGCCTCCTGCCCCCGGGCAGCGCTGGTCCCTTCCTCCCTCGTGTGTCCAGAGATCCCTTGGCAGGGGCCTCGCTCGTGGCGGGGACTCACCTGTGTCCTGGAGTCCAGGGTTGAGCTTCGTCCCAGCTCAGCCAGCACCTGGCATAGGGGGGCCTGGACGAGGCTGGGGACCGGAAGCTGGTGCGCTCCTGTGCTCCGAGCCGGCCTGGGGCAGTGGACTGCCCAGGGGTGGGGCAGCAGTAAGGTGGGGCTTCAGGAGGGCGGGGCTGAGATGCCAGGCGAGAGCCCAGACTGCTACTGCAGGTTTGGGAGGTGCTGAGGCTCTCAGGGTGGAGACTGAGCCGTGGTCTCAAGGTTGAGGCTGGGGGCGGAGTCTAGCGGGTGATTTGGACCCTAGGCAGAGATTTCAGGTGGGTGTGCAGGTTCCTCCGGGAGACTGGGTCAACTCATGGCGAGAGGAGAGTGCCCAGCAGCACCCCCTCCCAGGAGCTGACCCGGGGCCTTGACAAGCCCACGTCTTCCTGAGGCAAGGCCACCAGGCCCGAGTCCCACCCCTGCCCTGAATGGCAGCCTGACCCCCAAGAATCATCAGTTCATGAGCTGGAATTTGCAAGATGCTAGGCGGGTGCAGGTGCCACCTCCCCCAGAAGCTGTGGCCTCTGTGGCCCTCACGGCCATCTACCCCCACCACTGTGCGCATCTCCCAGGGCCGACCTTGAGCCTCTCACCTTTCTCAGACCCCTGAGCTCTTGCTCCCACACGCACCTGCAGATGCCTCCATCTGCCTTCC